CTCTGCATGCCCCTTAGCAATTCCCGATTATTTGGGTGCCGAGCACGCTTTGAATCGGATCTGTAGGCTTGGACGGGGCTGACACGATGGCTCAAATCTGCAGACGTGATGCGTCTGTGATGAGCGGCCCGATGCCTTCCACATGTGTGTGCTTTTGCGGGCACACGCCCTAAATGTGCCCACCATGTCTTGTGAATACTGCAAAACAGCTGCAGCCTTCTAAAAATTAATTGGTTTCTGGATCATTTGCATTTTTTATAGTTTGCCAACAAAAGATAGGGAGAGGGGAGGGAATTTATTAATGTTTGAAGAAATTCTCCAAAAGGGGAGGAAGCGAGCATTTTCCAGCGAGCCCCAGAGATGCTCACCTTCCTGTGACAGCCCGTGGCTTTCCCGGCGGCCTCTCGGGGCGCCCCCTCCAAGGGGAGCGTGGATGCGCAGCTCCCAGAGGAGGCGGCTGCGCCCGGGGCCCCGGTATTTAGTCGGGGTCTGCATTATGGGTTGGTAACAGCCATTTTCAGAAAAACAACCGAGGCAATTTCAGGATTTGCTGTCACAATAGGCACGCTAAAAATAAAGTCAGCATCAATAGATTAAGAAATTGACAGAATAACAAGGCATAAAGAATTAGGCTGAGCGCAGGCGCTGCAGAGGACGCGCGGCACGGGCGGCGGAGGGACGGGAGCGCGGGCTGCTGACTCGGCGCCTTCTGCGTTTGCTGCGGGGCCGGGGAGGCGGGCGCTCGGCTCCGCAGCAGCGCAAGCGGAGGCACCAAGCGAAGGAGGGAAAGTGCCACTTGCCTTGCAGACTTCCCATTTTTTTCGTGGCTGACACCCGTAAAAGACAGATGGGACGTTTTCCATAGCGGGGAGGGGGGCCCCTAGTCCCAAACGTGAGTCTGGAGAAGGATGGAGATGTAGTACAGAAGTGATGGGGATGGGGTAGAAAAAATGTTTTTAGGGGCACCCGGGTGGCTCAGTGGGTTAAGCATGGGACTCATGATTTTGACTCAGGTCGTGATCTCCGGTGGTGGGATGGAGTCCCCCCCCCCCGCCCTTGGGGCTCTGGGGAGTCTGCTCCTCTCCCTCTCCCTCTGCCTCCCCCCCATGCACACGTGCTCGCTCTCTCTCCAAAATAAATACATTTTAAAAGAACAAAAAGTTTTCAATTCAGTCGTGATATTTGGAGAAAATAAATCTCTGGCAAGCTAGCATGACAGGAAAGAAAAAAAAACTGCATGCTAGAAGCTATGTCATCATAGGTCAATACATGTGAACTTTGGGGAGATGGACTCTTCTGATCTGGGGTTGTCTGGCAGTCTTAACCAGCTAGTCAATGGGAGTGCTCTGGTTGGGGTTTCTGCAAATCATCCCTCTTCTGCCACCCCTTCCACCCCCATCAGCCTGGTGGGAAGGTGCCATTGCTTCTTCCCACATCCCCAGCTGGATGCCAGGGAGAAGCAAGCAGGGTGCCCGAGAAAAGCCCAAATTCCTCATTGTCTTCACCCTTCACTGATTCTAAGTTAGCTGAATAGAATAAGGCAGCAGACACTGTTTTTTTTTTTTTTATCAGAACATCTATGGCATTTGGGGGAACAACTTTTCTCAGCCGAGTTCCTTGATAGTTCATAGGTGTTTAGTGAAAAAAAAAAGTGTTCTTAACATAAGTAAGTTTAGGAAATTTGTATCAGGGCTTCTCAAAGTCCTTAACCTGATCTTGCAGAAGGGGTAAAGCAGGCGGTTTCTCAAATGAATTTTACCATCAAAACTCACTCTTTTGAGAATTGTGTGGAATACCTGGGAGGAAGTCTCTGGAAATATGTTTTGTCCTTAGATACAAACCACATAGCTTTCAGCCAACTAAATGTCCTAAAGGCAGTGCCTCATCCTTGAGAGAAGTGAGGAGGTTGAGGAACACAGTTCTCTGCATTCCTGCCTGGCCAAGACCAGTTTTCTTTGAAAAAGGTAACATTTTTCTTGTTGTCCTTCCCCCCACCCCAATTCAGTACCCATTCAATTGTCTACAGGAGATGCGGATGAAAGACTGAGGGTGATGGCACGGAGTTCTCTGGCTTGGGGAGCACAGGGTCAGTCTAAACCCTGCCCCGTGGCAGATGCCTCACTCCTGCTTTTCCATGCTGCACTAGTATTTGGCAGACATTCATTAGAGGTCAATAAAAGTTAAATAAATGAAATAGGACTCTGCTGCAGAGACATTTAATCATTTCATTAAGCATACTATTGTGTCCAGGTGCTTTGCCAAGTGTAGAGCTGCTTATGACTTCATCTAATTCCTAACTGCTGGGGGACTCAGCGTGCGATTCTTCTCATGTTCCTCCCTCTGTGCAACCCTCCCTGGGCAGCTGTAGGAGGATAGGCGGCCAAGCCGGCTGCTGGAGGAGTTAACCTTCTGGGTTTTTGAAAGGCAGACGGGACTTCTAATCAATCCTTCTCTTGAAGTTTCTCCAGCCTGATTGGAATTAAGGGAAGGTGAGGAGGGGAGGTCATGAACTGGGGTGGGGAGTGGGAGGATGTGGGGGAGCTCTGGGTCCTCCAGCCAGCGGTTCAGAGCCTCTCGGACATCCAGAGCTGCATCCCAGAGTGAGAAATGCACTTTTGCAACAGAGGCTTCCTGGAAAATATGGTGTAGGGCCCCCACTTCTGACCTCTGGGAGATCTATGCATTCATCTGCAGCCAGCCCCACTAGGGCAAGGCTCAAGCTTCAAGGATGTAGAAGAGCAGTCAGTACTGCCGGTGGTGGGGACCCAGCAGTGAGCAGTGCTCGTGGAAAGAGAGGAGGCCCTGTCCGGGTATCATGGCAGCCAAGAATTTCAATACAGAACAGACTGAAATACAGATTTCCATCTATAATGGAAATCAAGACGCTCTCCAGAATAGACTCGCATGTAGAGGGTCAACTAATTTTCAACAAAGGTGCAAAGGCAACTCAATGGGGGAAAGGATGATCTTCTCAAAAAATGATGCTGGAAGAACTGGATATCCATATGCAAACCATGAACCTCCATCCAAACCTCACACCATATATAAAGATTACCTCCAAATGGACCATGGACCTCAATGTAAAGTCTAAAGCTATAAAACTTCCAGAAGTTTAAAAAAAAATAAAAAAAATTTAAAAATAAAAAAATAAAAAACTTCCAGAAGGAAACAGAGAACACAATTTTGTGACCTTGGTGTAGGCAAAGATTTCTCAGCTACAACATCAAATAAATGCAGGACTCATAAGAGGAAATAAAGATGATAAATTGGACTTCATCAAGATTAAAAGCTTTTGCTCTCCAAAGGAAAACATTAAGAGGATGAAAGACACACCATGGGCTGGGAGAAAATAATTGAAAAATTGAAAAATACCTACTGGACAAAGGACTTATACCCCTAATGTAATTTTTTAAAGATTCTATTTATTTGTTCATGAGAGATACAGAGAGAGGCAGAGACACAGGCAGAGGGAGAAGCAGGCTCCCTGAGGGGAGCCCTGTGTGGGACTCCATCGCAGGCACTGGGGATCACGACCTGAGCGGAAGGCAGATGCTCAACCACTGAGCCACCAAGCCCCACCCCTAATGTATTTTTTAAAAGTCTCAAGATCCTGTAATAAAATGAACAACACAATTAAAAACTAGACAGGAGATCTGAACAATTTGCCAATTGTCAGATAATGCCGAAGAAGATAACATGGATGGCAAATAATAATTTAAAAAAATTCATCACTAGGGAAATACAAATGAAAACCATGATGAGATACCAGGACACCCCTACTAAAATGGATAAATTAAAAAGACTGATCCTATCAAGCTGTGGTGAGGATGCAGAACAGTGGGATCTCCACCATGAGTCGGAAATAATTTGGTTACTTTCTAGAAAAAGTTATTTTGGAAGGGTGCAATATTATGAAATAATGGTTAATTTGATGTCAGGAACCTAAAAGTGTCCTGGGCCAACATGAGGAAGATTACCACCACTTACCTCCACACACAGCTGGCACCTCACCTCTAGAGAGGCACTCTACAGAAATCTCAGATGGGGGTGCCTGGGTGGCTCAGTCGGGTAAGCACCTGCCTTTGGCTCGAGTCATGAGCCCAGGGTCCTGGGATGGAGCCCCACATCAGGGAGCCTGCCTTCTCCCTCTCCCTGCTGCTCCCCCTGCTTGTGCTCTCTCTGTCAAATAAATTAATTAAATTAAAAAAAAAGAAATTTGGGATAAAAATGTTTGGAAACATAAAGAGTATCTCTAGGAAGAAAAATGGGATTTCTTGGTGAGTGTATGTATGTGTGTATGTGTGTGTAATTTCTCTTTCTTTCTCAAAGCTCAACCAGAATGGCAAAAGTGAAATACAGACTCCTGATATACTTCCAGACTTGTGCGTGTACGTCTTAGGAAGATTGCCAGAAGTTGCAGAGAGTTGTTCATCAATCACCCAGAATTTGCCAATATTTACCTGCTCTTAGAATACGCCTTAGTATTTACCTATTCCTAGAGAGGAATAATAAATAATAAATAAATAATAATGCTGTTGAGTTTCTGATGGAAGGTATGAATAGCCAGATTTTAGAGATGATTCAACTCCCCTTCAGAAAGGTTGAGTAACTTGCCTCAGGTCACACAGCTAGGAAGGGGCAGAGCCGGGACTGAACCCAGGTTGATCTCTTGGCTGTACATGAGCTGGTCCTCCTTGGGCCAATGCTTGCCTGCCTCCATCACATGTCTTTCATCCTTTATATTATGTAATGGCAAGAGATGTGTGTTCATGGTTTGCTTTATGGTCCCTAATGGCTACTTCGTCATCTTCCCACCCACCAGCAGTTTTTAAATACTTCCTGGGCTGTATCTTCCTCTTTCCCCGGCCTGCCTCTTCTTCAGCAGCTTGGTCTGTTTCACTAACCCTAGAGAGAAAACCTAAATCCTACAACCACTCCACACCCTGGACAAGGGAAGCTGCCTTGGCCCCAACCCCCTTGTGGCCTAAGTATGGAGTAATATCACCTCAGAAAACCTCTAGACCTTCCAGTAATGGGGGTGGGGCTGGAGGTGGGGGAGATGCTTCGAGACTTCTCTGATCAGCTATGAAAATGAGGTCATGTTTGACAAACGGCATTGTTCTGTGCGAGCAGCAGTCAACACACTTGGCAGGGATAAAGCCTTGGAACACGCCAGTGATTATTTTTAATTGGATGGGCCTCGTGGCTGTAACAAAAATCAATGTATTTCTGAGGCGGCTGCAGAGGCGTTGATCCGACTTGGCCCTGCCGCTCCCGGGCGGCCAAAGGATGCTGGCGCCAGGAAACAGGAGGCTCTAGGCCTTGGGCACAGGGGATGATGAGCCTCCCCTGGTTCCTCCTACTGCTGGGATGAGTCCACTATAAGCCAAGGCCAGAAAAGCATGGGCTGGGGGTGGTGTCTAGGAGGGCATGGGGTGCCCAAGGGTGCAGAACACAGGTAGGTGTGGGGTGCACGGGGTAAAGGGAGATGCATGGAGGGGCTGGGAGGGGCTGACAGTGGAAAATGCAGATCCCTGCTGAGAATCTGCCACTTTACTTGTGGGGGGGCAGACCCCATTTAGAGGGTGACACAAATCCACTACACAGCAGGGCCCAACAGGAGGCAGTGAGACGGGGAGCCTTGTAATGCTCTTGTTTCTGGCTGGAGTCACCAGCGTGAGATATTTAAACTAAAACAGCAGAACGTCATCTCCGGGACATTGATGAAGAAAGCATGTCTCTCCTCCCTGCTGGCGGCTGCCCAAGGTGTTTGGGGAGATGGGATTGTTGGTTGCTTTTTTTGTTTGTTTTTGTGTTTTGTTGCATGGGAGGGGGATTGTGAGCAAAGTAGACCAGTGTTCTATGGAGCCTTTAAATTTTTTTTCTCTTCTACAGACTGATGCATTCAGGAGAGAGAGAAAAGTAATTGTACTCACACATCAGAGAAGCCTCCAATCTGGTTGGAAGGTTTTTCTCAAGGAAGACAAAGGCACAGCATCCCTCGTCCCTCACTGTGTGGTTGTCTGTAGGCAGAGTGACCCCCCTTGTCTGCGAGCCTGGAGGGGCCCCAGGGCCTGGTGAGTGCTGGGGAGCTGTACCAGGGCGGACCTGCCAGGCCAGAGGCAGCAAACGCTAGATGTGCAGGCTCATGCCTGTGGCTGGGAAGCGCTCGACCCCTGGAGAGCTCGGCGAGGGAGCAGCACCAGGGCAGCTGAGGGGCCTTTTGAGGATTTTTGGAAGTTGCTTCTGGACAGCCTTACCAGAAAGAAAGGGGGAAGCCCCTGTGGCATCTGGGGGTTTGCTGCAACGCGTGTGAATTGTGCCAAGTTGAGACTCCACTCTTCCTGAGAAGTCCCTGCTTCCCAGTCAATAACATCAAAAAGAATTTAAAACTCTGTGTGGTAAGACCAATTACAGCTTCTAATCTTTGTCCTGGGTGAGTGTTTAACCCCCTCCCCACCACACACACATCTGAGGAAGAAAGCTCAGAACTCAGACAGCCCCTAAATCCACCTGAGCCTGGTTCTCTGGAAAACACCCTTGACATCTACATTATGAGCCCGAGGAAGCTTTGCTTGTAGGCTGGGTTGCATTTCCTACAAAGCCTCTGGTTTTCACAGCCACGTAAGCTATTTCTCTCTCAAGGCATTGCTTTTGTGTAGAAATTTATCATGTTTTTCCCCCTCAGTCCAGAAGTGAATTATTTTTTTTTTAAATTGGAGAAAATCCCTTAAGCTGTTTTGGACTTATTCAAGCATGCAAAAAGGGTATTTTCCATGCGTAGTTCAGATGCTTAGTATGTTCTTGGATAGCCCAAATAATTTGAATTTAAAACTTTGAATTGGACCTCTTTATGTAACATCTTAAAAAGGTGCCATTTATGAAGAAAAATATGGTCATGAAATAAAGGATATGAGGAGTAAGTGATCCTGCTGGCTACAGTAATAGATGGGGACTCATAAATCTTAGTTTCTATTCTTGGCTCTGGAAAGAATTTATGTGTTCACTGCATTTGGCACATGGAGGCAGCAGGGAGATAGATTCAGGAACTTGGATATGAAGGAAATAAGATCTTCTTGTAAAAGTTAAATTATGAAATCCACACATAAGAGACTGGGGCAAACATGTGCACAACCACCTTAATGAAACATAACAGTCGGCAAGTCAGATGGAGGTCACCGGGAGAGTCACAGAAGCAGCTGCTGGCAGCTCATATCCAGGCTTGGGGAGGGGCGGGAGGAGCCAAGGCGCACAGGGGAGACTGGGGAGGTCACGGAGGTCACAGGACACCTCTGGGCCCAGCTCAGCAATGTTCCACCTTGGGGGAATCAGTAGAGTATCCCTGGCAACTGAGGTTTCAAACCCCTGCTCTGTCATTGACTAGCTGTGTGATCTTGCACCTTCCTGAGCCCTTAACTTACTGAGCCACAGCAGCCTTATTTGGGAAAATGGAGATAAGGGTACATACCCTACAGAGTTGAAGAAGGATACAGTGATAAAATGTGTATAAAGCACTTAGCAGGTGGTGGTGATGATGGTAGTGGTGGTGGTGGTGACTGGGATGGTAATGGCAGTAGTGAGAATGGTGGTGGTGGTCATAGTAATGGTGGAAGTGATTCTGGTGGTGGTCATAGTGATGGTGCAAGGGGTTCTGGTGGTGGTGGTGGTGGTGGTGGTGGGCCTATCCTCAATGCAGAGTTAGTGAGGTCTGGCTGGCAGAGTCTCATGCCATTATCAACGCCCACCATCCAAAGACACCAGGAACACCCAGGTAGTTGAACAAAGTAGGGTTTCTCAATGCTTGTGGCCTCAAGGGAGACTGCACGCTGTGGGGAATCTTAGGGTACCTTGGCAAGGAGGTGGTGGAGGGGACCTTTTATAGGGTTTTGGCTAGTGGATGATGTTGGGGGCTGCTGCTCTAGGTGGGGCATCAGAACGTTGAAATTGGATATAGTCAGGCATCCCTGGATTTATCTAAGAGGTGGAGGAATGAGTGAGGCTCAGGCGTAATTGGCAGAGAAGTGGCTGTCATTCACACCAGGTGGGAGGGAGGGACATGCGGTCACTTTGTGGTTTAAACAGTATGCTCGGGGTTTTTTTGTCTGTGTTCAGACATGATTGCGGGAGTGGCCTCGTTTTTGTCTCTCTCCATCCCGGTCACAGAGTGACCTTGTTCCATGTTGGTGTTCAGTGAAATTGTGTTTGTTCAACAAAAGAACACCACAGCCTAGCTGTGAGTGCCAGGCCGGCTCCCAGCTGCCAGCTGCCAGGGCCTGCTTTTTTGTTTCTCACCATCTAGCCTCAGAATCCTTGCTCCGGTTCATCGCTCACCAAGTACCTCTTTGATTATAATTGGGCTTCCCACATAGGGGGCCTGCAGGGGACAATTGTGGGCATACAGATCTGAGTATTTCAGATCCCCATGGTGATATTAATGTTGAATCATATGAAATTGCCACTCTTGCAGTTCAAAAGCATTTGAATATTGGCAATTTTACATAGTTGAGCCTAACTATTGCTCGCTGTAGATTAATAAATTGTCATTCTGGAGCCCATAATGGTCTCCTGCGAGTCCCCCGTGATAGGAAGGACTTTGGGTGTGAACAATGTGGGATTTCTGATCCTTGAAGGTAGAGGGTTTAACTGTAAACCACACTGAAGATTATCAAGGTCATAATGGGAGGCTTTTGAGAAAATATCATATTTCTCCCCATGGCACCTTCTTTAATTTATTCATCCGAGAGAATCTGCCTCCATATAAACTTCCACCATGTTGGTAAGTCAGTTAACTCAACAACTTGCAAAGTGACTGAATTCTGACTTTGCCCGGGCTGAGACGCTGCCCACTCTTCCCAGATGGAAGGGGTTGGGTCAGTGGTGTTGGTCTGTGAAGGGAAAACCAAGGAGAAAAGTGCAGATGCACCACTTAGGGTGGGGGTGAGAATAAGCATTGAATTTTGAGAGTGACTGGGGTCGAGACAAGGAAACCACCCAAGGTGACATAAGCTGCCCAGGTACAAACCACATGCCTGACATCACAGGCTCCTGTCACACGTCCCCAAGCCTGGTTGTGACCTCAGGCAAATTCTAGGGGTGATTCCTGCTTTATTTTTAATAATAAATTTATTTTTTTATTGGTATTCAATTTGCCAGCATACAGAATAACACCCAGTGCTCATGCTGTCAAGTGTCCCCCTCAGTGCCCGTTTGATTCCTGCTTTAATTGGTTCTTTTACCTGGCAGGAGTCTTGGAGTACCTGGGCAGGTTCACAAATGCAGGTGTACCAAGCCACCTGTGCTTTGAATGGTGCTATCACTAGGACACATGCGGAGGACAAGGAAAGAAAAGCAAGGATCCTGAGTTTTGCCAGTACCCTGCTAGGCTGCGCCATACCCACTGGTCTGGGCCCTCTGACCAGAACCAATTATTCCCAAGCAGGCAGGAGCAGATGCTGCAAGAGCATACACCTTTCTGAGCCTAAGTTTGGGGAAGGGGAGCATACTGGTCTCTGTGGCTGCTGTAATTAATTACCATAAATGTATTCTCTCATGGTTTGGAGGCCAGAAGTCTGGGATCAAGGCTGGGGACTGGGGGCAGGAATCCATTCATGCCTCTCTCCTAACTTTGGACGTCCGCTGACAATCCTCGGTGTTCCTTGGCTTGTTGCCACATCACTCCATCTCTGCCTCCTTTGTCACATTGCCTTCCTGTCTCCACTGTTCTTTACCTCTTCTGTCTTCTCAGATCTCTCTCTGCCTCTCTCTTATAGGGGATACTTGTCTTTGGATTTAGGGCTCACCCGGGTGATTCGAAATAATCTTCTCATCTCAAGATCCTTAACGAAACATGCAAAGACTTTTTTTTAGGATCACATTCACAAGGCCCAGAGATTAAGATGTGGACTTCTATTTTGGAGGGGGCTACCATTCAGTCACCACCTGAATTCAGTCACCTGAAACCTGGGGGAGCAGACTGGCTCAGCTTGTAAGCACCTCCCTGACCTGGTCTGTATTTAGGGCCTAGTGAATGTCTCTCAACTGAGCCAGGGCTTCATCAACACGACAGCCTCCTGAGTTCAGTGGCAGGTCTCTTGCTCCTCATCCTGCCTTGGAAGCTGTACCTCCCAGGAGGTGGCAGGGCCATTCCCCAAAGGCCTCCACTGCAGTCTCTCCCCCAATGAAAGCTTCTCTTCTTGTTCGTGGTCTCCTTTCGAAACTTGGCGGCCTGGTTTCCTTCCCTCCTGCTGTCTTCTTCCAGGATTTACCCCAGGTGGGGCCTGATGCAGGTGCCGGAGATCCAGAATGAGAGGGACCCAGATGAGCACTTAAGGATCCACCACCCCTGTGGTGGCACAGCTCACGGGTAAGGATGCTCCACGGCACCCCAGGTGCTCTGGCCCACCACCCTGACACATACATCCTAAGGATGCTGTGCGTCCTCTGGAATGGCTCCTAATCCCCTGGCAGTGACTAAGCACCTCCTAGTCACTGCTCCAGCCATTAATTTAAGCGCCACGTGGCCTGGATGTCCTGTTCTCCTGGAGCGCCAAGGCTGTCCACAGAGCCATTGATTTAAGAGACAATATCACTTGCTTCCAAGTTTATGAGGCAATAAACAGCCCCCGCATATTGATGAACGCCGAGGTGTTTGCTCAGCACATTTGCTGTGCACATTTATTATGAGGCTGTGCTTTAAAGCAAATGAAACTGCACTATCTTCTTTCCCTTTGGTGGGGCCGTGGCCCTCCCCCAAGCGCTGTCTTAATCTAGTGGATCCCTGGTCCCTCTTCCCAGGGCGCAGACTAGTGCAGACGCACGCTGGTGGCTCAAAGCTCGCCATCCCCATTCCCTGGGGTCCTGGGGAGCCTCTCAGGGCCCTGCCACGCTGTTGGAAGGGTCTAGGAGAAAGAGGGGAAATGAAGAGCATCGTTTTTCTGAGGCTCCCACCCGTGAGGCCTCTCCCGCCTCGTCTCACCCTCCCTGGAGAGGAGCGCACGCGATAATAATAGAACCGAGCAACCCGCCAGCAGCCATTCCCCGCGTGGCCTAACACACCAAATAAAATTCCTTTTCATCTTGAGAAGCTGAGACGCTACAAGGCTGGGCTGCTAGTCCATAAAGATGAATCTTCAGAGCATTTACTAGCTGGAATGCCCTGTGAATCCAAACCGGTTTATGTATAAAATATTAGGAAGGTTCGGAGGAGGTGGGGAGGCCGGGTGGGGAGCAGGCAGGAGAGATTGATTGCAAACTTTGTGCCAACTGAGCAGTTCTGCGCATGCCAAACAGCGAGAGAACAACACTTGAAAAATGTATTAGATTATCCAGAACACAACACTGATTTATAGGCGCAGTAATCCCCGTCTTGCCATCCGTTTCCTTAATGGAGAGAGATTAGGGTGATGGTGGCACTCTGTTGGGACCTCCTGGCTCCCTCCCCACCCCTGCAGCCCCAACCCCATGATGAATCACATGCTAAAAGCAAGGGTTTGCGCTCTGAACCCCACGTTCTGAGGTGGAGGGTTTTGAGATTTGAAGCATTTCTGAGGTTGGAAGGAAAATGGACGGAATGAGGAATTAGTTCTGAAAAATCTAATAATACTGATTGCTTAGAATCACAAAGAGTTTCTTCACAAGAGGAGGCAAGTTCTCCAGGAGCATGTTCGGTGTGGCTGGGTGGCTCACCTCCAGAGGGACCTCACATGGTGGCTTCCAAAGGTCCCACCCAGATATAACTAAGGTCCCGAGCACACCGTCTTTGGGGCCACCTGAGTCGGGAAGGACAAGGACAGAGCTTGCCTTGAGGAGATGCACCCTCACCTCTGTCACTGGCCACCTGTCTCTTCAGTAGGAATTAGCCAACACCCAGTATGTGCAACGCATGGTGTGAGGCGCATACGAGGTGCCTGTCTGCTGTCTACTAAGGGCTTTGTGAGACATTTGAGGAAGCAAACCAGGAACCCTGTCCTCCACAGGCTTAAATCCCAGCTGCAAGTAGGGCACAGTTGGGCTCCAGAGCCTTAAATCCCAGCTGCAAATCTGGAGCAAGTACACAAACCAAATAGGAGCAGGCATCTTGTCAAGTCCGGGATATGGAAGATGAGCAAGAACTCCTGCGGAGGGGGGGAGGTGAGCTCAAGGGGACTTTTCTTTCTGCCCAGAGGGCTTCAGGGACATGCTAGAGAGGGGAAGTTGTCTGGGTGGACATGGTCCATCCACAGGGCCTGCTCATCAATATTTTTTGTCTCTCTGGAAGATTTGTGACCCCTAGATGCTGTCTTCCAAAAACTCTCTGTTCTAGGAAAATTTCATTGCTCAGTTTATTGTTCTAGGAAATATTTTAAAGAACTCCCATCTTTGCCATCCCTTGTACCTTCCTAAGGCCACAACTGTTCAAGGACTCCTTGGCAGCTATAGAAACTCCAGCAAAGTTCCCTGTGCCCATGCAGGCGGGAGAGTCTGCCTCTCTGTACATCTACTCCATCAACAGAGGGATCTCGCAGGCCTGGGACGAGGCATGCTCTTGGTAATTCCACCACCCTGTAAGATGACCAGCTGCCACAGCTATATGGGAGAGAAAGCTTGGGGGGTGAATGCCATCATCACCACTGGTACCATTACCACCATCATCATCCTCACCATTACCACTATCACCACCACCACCACCATCACCTCCATCACCACTATCACCACCATCACCACCACCATCACCACCACCTTCACCATTACCACCACCACCAATCACTATTTATTCTGAACAGTGCCTGTGAGCCAAGCTCTTTGCTAAAGGCTTTACATGTATCTAAATTAATCCAGTGACTGAAGGACCACTACAATCTCATTTTATAGATGAGGACACTGAAGATTAAAAAAGGTCACCCAGATAAGAAGTGACAGAGCAGGAAATCAAGTCTGTGTAGCCTGACTCCAAAGCCTGAGCTCACCGTATACCAAACCACCTCTCCTCCTAGGGTAGGGCCTCTGGTTGTTAGGGATTTCTTGAAGGCTTGATGTGGGGACACTGAAAAGATCAATCACTTTAGGTCGTGAGCAAGCTGTAGATGTAGCAAGAATGGAGATGTGATCGTTACATCCATTAGTTCTTTGTATCATTTGTTCATCTATTCATTCAGCACTGATCTGGGTGGAAAAGGCATGAAGAAGCAGAGGCAGTTCCTCCCTGGAGGAGCTCACCCACGGCCCTTCAGGAGCCGTATGTGGCAGTGCCCCTGCCCTTGCTTGGGAGGCCTGCCACGGCCTGGTGGGTGTGTCTTTGCTCTGCTCTGAGAGCCTCCATGGGGCTGGGTGGCAGGAAGTCTGGGCATCCTTCACCCGATGCCCCCTGTCTCTTTTCTTCCCACCATCAACCTGAATGTTATGAACATCTTTAAAAAAAACTACCCCCACAAGACAAAACTCTAATCCATCTTGCCTAAGACATTTTCCCTTAGATTTAAAACCCTGTGTAATTTAAGAGATATGTAATTCATGTGTCTGCATTTAAACCATCAAAGTGCTTTTAAAAGAGCTATTTGAAATCTTTGGAGCTTTATGAACCTTTAAAGTTCTTTCTTTGAAACATGGGAATCACACACTGCCAAGGATAAAGATAGTCAAATACCAAAGGCTAGGGGTGGGTTTCAGACTCTAAATCCATGACATTTCACTTTTACAAAACTGAATTTCTCATCTTTAACATCCACTTCCAGTTGGGACCGCAGGCCGACGAGGAATTGTCACACCTTTGGGTGCCCCTGCACCCGGAGTATCATTACTCGGCCTGCACAAGGGCCGGATCCACCCCAGGGCCTGGCGCCCACCAGCGGCTGCACTGGGACGTGACTGTGTTACGTCATTGGTGACCTTTTCCAATGCACCCCAAAGCGCCAAGGAGGGGGCACAAGCCTGTGCAATGGGCGCCGCCCGATTTCCAGCCCATGCGGGGCGGTGGGGGGGGGGTGGAGGAAGGTGGAGAGGAGGGAGGAGGCGCGGGGTGCGGGGTGCGGGGTGCAGGGCGCGGGGTGCGGGGCGGGGTGGCGCGGGTTTGAAAGGCACGTTCCTCGGCTGCACCCCTAGTGGTTGGATGAGTGGCCGGGGGCGGCCCCAACTACTCGTGACCTGAAGGACCCCGACCCCCCCCACCCCCTGCACCGCGGGGACCCGGACCAGGAGGGCTTGGGCCCCTCCGCTGCCGCGCGCCCCAGCCCCACGGAGCTCACCGCTCGGAGGAGGAAAAGGAGGCGCGGGCGGCCTCGGCGCGGGGGGGGGGGGGCGGGGGGGAGGGGAGGGGGAGGGGCGGCCCCGGGGGAGGAGCGGCCCCCGCAGGCGTCCAGGGCGGCGGTTGGAGTCGTGCGTGGCCCCGGGGCGGGGGAAGGAGCCCTGTGCCGCCACCTGGCGTGCAGGTGCCCGGGGCGCGCCCTCCCCGCGGGCCCCAGCCCCTTCCCGCCCCCGACCGCCCACCCCAGACCCGCAGAGGGGTCCCGCCGGTCCACCCACCAAGGCCACCCGCCGCACCGACGCCCCGGGGTGCCCCGGGCGCCCTCCCCATCCCGCCCCCCAGTCCCGGCCCCCGACCCCTTCTCCCCGAGGAGGCCCCAGGCGCAGAGGGGCGCTCCTGGCCCTTGGCCTCCCTCCACCTCCCTCCTCCGCTCCCTGTTGTGGGGAGCCCCCAGCCCTGCCCGCTTTTGAACCCCTAGGAAAGGGGCATTTTACCCCTTCCCGTCCTTCCGCCCTGCTCAGGAGCGGCCTGTGACCCCCACCCGGAGCGGCCAGGACTCCGGGGTTGATGACGCTCCACGCGGGGCCGCTGGCGGGGTGACCTGGGGCCCCTGAGGCCTGGGCCGGCGGCAGTCAGGGGCCTCAGTTCTCGGAGGAATAATGTTTTCTTCTGGTGACTGAAGGCTGGGGGCGGCCCCCTGCCCACCCTCCTACCTGGCGGGGTTCTGTACACCCCAGCTCTACTCTTGGGCTCTACCTAGGGCCTTCAACCGGCTCATATGGAGTGCTAAGGAATGCTTCCCCCGCACGCCCCCACCCATTGCTGTATTTGAGCAGTGGCAGGAGATTTTGAATCCTGGAGCTTTGGGCTCCCTTCCAGAGCAGTGAAGAAAGCCAGAGTGGTGTGACCAGGTTAAACTTGCCAGAGGCCAGGGTGCCTGGTCTATGCCCTCTTCCTGCTGGCTGCCCCTGCACACCTGGCCCACTTCCAAACCTGTCTGAGTGTCTCCCCCTTAGCCCCGTTCTGGCCACTGGCACCCCGAATACACTTCCAGGTCTACCAACCAGGCCAGAGTCTTCAGGGTGTCCTTTCCTGGTGACTTCAGCCATCTTCCATGACTGAGTATTGCTGTCAGGAAAATCCACCCCATTGACAATGGAAGGAGAACCTGTCTCCCTTCACCCCCTTTCCCATGTCCCCACTACTTGGAATAGCTACAGCCCCCAAGCACTTCAACATCAAAAACATGTGTTCTGTGTTGACATCTTTTCCTTGTTCTCCTGACACCAAATTCAGTCAGATCCAAATCCTTGAAATGTTGCTCAAATCCACGCAATGTTCAATGACTGTTGAGTCTCGGAGGCCAAGAGCAAGAGGAAGGGGGTTCTAGGCAAGGGATCTGCAAATGCTGAGGCAGGGGCCGCAGACCAGCCATAGTTGGGCACTGGTGAGTGTTTGGAGGCCCCTGCCAGGGCCCTCTGCCGGCCGTTTAGAAGCCAACACAGCCCTTCCCGTCCTCTGCCCTTCCGATGCCTCCTCTCCTCAGTTGTTAAACTGATCCTAGAGCCCTTGCCGTCCAGTTCTGTCTTTTGTCTCCATTGTTTCTTGGGGAGCAGTGAGCTTCTGAAGTCCCTTCCCCACAGGGGAGCAGGCCCTTCTGGGCACCCACTGAAACAGACTCTCATCCCCTTCCGCAACACAGCCCACGTCCCTCCCGGCCTGTGAAGGCTGGGGTCGGGCCCCTGCCTTTCAGGACAGAGAGGCCCCATCAATCTTTCCCACCTCAGCCTCTCCTCAAAATTTCCTTGAATAGACAGGTTCTTGCCTTCCCCCCTTCCCATCTGACCCCATCTCTGGACCTCGCCTTCTCAGGGATTCTGCTCCTGGATTTGCAGCGTGTTACTGAGCACCGCTGAGCTGGGAGCTGGGACGGCTGCTCTCTAGACCTCTTCATGGAGAACATGTATGTTAGTTGGATAAAATAATAGCAGCCCGACCGCGCCCGTGAACTCTGCGGACCACGCCCTGCACGTCCTCTTCTTGGAGCCATCCTGTTTTTACGTAGGCTCGTGCTGGTGGAAAACGACACAGTATCTTCAAATGCAAAAGCCCATGCGTGACAACCAAAGATCTAAGAAGTCCCATGAACCCGGAAATCTTTACTATGTGCCTGTTACTCTGCTTCCAATGGAATATTTCAACATTTAAGAGCTTTTGATGGAAGCCACCAGCCTTCCAACAAATCACCTAGAAGTGGAGAGATTTGACCTGGGGGTGGGGTGGGTGGGGGAGATGTCCTCCCATCACCATGGAAACAGGTGTTGCAACTGCAGAATTAAAGCCAGTTGCTGACCCAATCGAAGTGTTTTTAGGAGATGGTCCTGGCCAGGCTGAGCCCTGCTGTCCGCACTGGCCCCACCCAGCCTAGTTTCTTCTTCCCCGGCCTGTGAAGTGAAGCCTGGAATGTTCTATAAGTCCTAGAGAGCTTTCCTTGGAGTCCATGAGGGGTTTCCTCTCCCATCCCCACGGTGGAGGGCCAGGGGTTCAAAGGCAGATACTGAGGTTGGAACTTCCCTCGCACCTGGCTATGTGGTGCTGGGCAAGTCTGTTCCCCCGTTTCCTCAGTTCAGGGAGGAATCACGCCCCAGAGCCTGGCCTGTGTTGTGACCAGAGATAAGGTACATGAAAGTAAGGTGTAAATTATATAGTGCAGTACAAGTATTGTTGTTATGGTACTTCCCGTCCCCCAGGGACTGGAATATGAGCCAGTAACTTCACAATAACGAGAGTAATGATGAACGATTATGAATACTTACCACTCTGAAGAATAATATTTCATATGAAGTCTTTAATCCAATCCACAATCAGACCTAAGAGGATAGATACCATTGCTGTCTCCACTCAGAGGCGAAGAATTAAGGGGTGACATGTCTTGGCCACCACTGGAGTTCCGGGTCGTCGGCCAGCCAGCATAGATACAGCCACCCTTTGGAGAAAGTCCATCTTTCTCCAGCTTCATCCTCACACGCGTGTGCTAACACACACACTTGTCCATTCTCCTTTTGGGCTCTCCTGGTCCTCGGGCCCTCGCTGAGCCAGGAGGGATCTCCTGCCAAGTGTAGAGGCCCATCCACATCCTAGAGGGTCAAGGGGAGAAGTCCTGCTCCACAGCCTAGAAACCAGGCCCTGTCCCAGACGTGCATGGACAAGGGGGTCTCTCTGGTCAGTGGCCCAACCCCTGGGGAATCTTCTGCCATTGGCCAGAATTGCCAGCAGGGAGCCATTCCCCTCCCAAGCCTTTGGGGTGCGACTCCAAGCCTGGAGTCCCACCTTGAGCCTTGGGTCCCTCCGCAGGGTTTCTGGCACACTCCTAGTGCTGCCCCCAAAGATTTGGTGAGGGTGTGGCCAATGCTGCATTAACTCTGCCCTGGGTTCAGTGGTGGCACCAGACTGCTTTTCCATAGTAGCCACCAGCTGCTCCTTTGTCGCCGGCTCCTGTCCCGTCATTGCTCTCCTCCAGTCCTTCCCGTGTGTCTTCAGGTGACCCTCAGGGACCAGTTCCTGGACGCCAGCTTGGGTGCCCGTCAAGGCTACTGTCTCCTTGTGGAGAGAGCCCGTTCCCTCCCGAGCTCCATCATGCCCTCCCGAGGCAGAGGCCACCTGCCCTTGGTTGGACACATGAGTTCGGCCTGCAACGCTCCCCTCAGTCAGAGATGAGACCACCTTCAGAAGTGCATGGAAAGTTCTCCTCCGACCAAAAGGCAGCACAGTTAAAGCCCCCTGGGACAAGCCGAGATGGAGAATGATGTATTTTTAAAGCAAAGCCCACTTGTCCCCTCATGTAGGCCCTAAATCAGACGCACGTTGTTTGAGTCATCTCAGGGAAGAGGACCGGCTACGGTAATAATAACAATATACTCACGGTGCACTTTTCGATTTGAAATAATTTTTGTAGCTAATTCTGGCTGCTGCATGTCTTCATTTAAAATATACATATACATGTATTTTGTTCAGTATTTTAATTAGGCCCAAAGGAATACACTTTCAAATTTTGGTACACTTCATTTGTTATATTAATGAAAAGCCACTTTAAATCAAGTTACATGTTGATATTCCATTATGTATGCTGTTCTCACACATCTCTAAAAGAGATTTACGTTACAGGTAGTAACCACAAATACTGGCAGTGGACATGCTGTTAATTTAAAATGTAAAGTTTTCTTTTGAGGTGCAGCAAAAATATCGTGCAGCTAGCTCCCCGGGAAAGTGGCTGTACCCCAAATTCCAAGGGCAGGTCCTCCCCCAGCCCCAGCCCTTGTCCTGGCAGGGGCCCAGCCTCCAGCCCACAGGGAGCAGTGGCCTACACCAGGGTCTGCAAGCCTGAGGCAGAATTACGACCCGGAGCCCAAACTAAGGGCTGGGCCGCTGACACGGACGGTCAGGCATGTGCAGCCCAGGGAAGGAGAGGACCTGGGGCCTTGGGGACTGCTGTGGCCAGGGCTCAGGTATATGCGCTCGATCATGGCCATCTACACACAGACACTCACTCTCAGCCATAGTCGTGTCATGCCTGGGCCCTTGCAGTAATGCAGATGGTGTATTGGCCTTGCTCTGGGCGATGGCTCAAAGTTTCTGTTGCACACACTGTGCCACGCGGCTTAGCCC